CCGTGCACCGAGCGCTGTGCACCAAGGGCCATGTACTGAGCCCTGAGGGCCTCATCCAGCCCCCAGTACGGCCCCATACAGTCCCATAGGTGCCCATATGGTCCCAGAGAGGCCTATCCGGTCCCCTATGGCCCTGTAGAACCCCACGTGGCCTCTTGACCCCAAGGTCCCCTATGGCGTTCGCAAGAATGCGTGGTCACCTATGGAATCCCCACAACCCATCATTCCCTATAAGGTCCCCATGATCCTATGGTGTCTTCACAACCCTGTTGTCCCCTACGGAGTCCCCGTCATCCCTTACAGGGTTCCCCCAGCCCTGTCGTCACCTATGGAGTCCTCACGTCCCCTATGATACCTCCAAGATTCTGTTGTCCCCTATGGAGTACCCATGCCCCCTGTAGAGCCCACATGATGCTGTTGTCCCCTATGAAGTCCCCATGACACCTATGGAGTCCTCATATCCCCTATGACACCTCCAAGACCCTGTTGTCCCCTATAGAGTACCCATGTCCCCTATAGAGCCCATACGATCCTGCTGTCCCCTGTGAAGTCCCCGTGACACCTATGAAGTCTCCACAGCTCTGTTGTCCCCTATGGTGTCCCCATGACTCTGTCATCCCCTACAGGGTCCTCATATCCCCAAGGAATCTCTATGACACCATCATCCCCTATGGAGTCTCCACATCCCCTATGGGGTCCCCACAACTCCGTTGTCACCTACAGAGTCCCCATGACCCCTATGGAGTCCCCACAACTCCGTTGTCACCTACAGAGTCCCCATGACCCCTATGGAGTCCCCACAACTCCGTTGTCACCTACAGAGTCCCCATGACCCCTATGGAGTCCCCACAACTCTGTTGTCACCTACAGAGTCCCCATGACCCCTATGGAGTCCCCACAACTCCGTTGTCCCCTATGGAGTCTTCACGACCCTGTTGTCCCCATGATCCCATCATCCTTTACAGGATCCCCATAGGTCTGTCATCCCCCACGGAGTCCCCACGGCCCCTATGGTGTCCCCCATCATCCCCTATGGAGTCCCCACAATCCTGTTGTCCTCTACAAAGTCCCCACAGCCTCTACGATGTCCCCATGACCCCATCATCCCCTATGGAATCCCCACCACTCTCTTGTCCCCTACAAAGTCCCCATGACAACTATGAAGGCCTCACCACCCTGTTGTCCCCTATAGCGTCCCCATGACCCGTTGTCCCCTACAGCGTCCTCATGTCCCCCTGACACCCCCACCATGCAGATCCAGAGCCAGGCTGTCAGAAAGGACTTTTTTAACCCAAAAAAAAAAAAAAAGGGGGGGCAAGAGGGGACAGCAGGGTGGGAGGCACCCATGGGTGGGGGCCACTCGCTCAGGATGGACACCCAAACATGGTCATGGCCTCGGCGAACTCAATGAAGTCCTGGCAGAGGGCTTGCAGGTCGGGCTCCTGGCATGCCACCTCCAAGGGCCATGCCTCCAGCCACGTGTCCTTGCCGATGAGGTAGGAGAAGCTGGAGACAGCAAGGGGACAGAAGGGACATGGGTCAGAAGGGGGTGGACAACGGGGTGCACAACCCTGTAGGAGACACCGGAGAATCTCGGGCTTGGGGTGGGATGCGTCTCTGTACTTAGGTGTCAGTGTCACCGTGTCCACGTGTCTCTGTGTCCCTATGTCCCATCTACCCATGTCCCCATTCTCCCATGTCTCATGTTCCTGTGTTCCCATGTCCCCACAGATGTGGCCCCGTCTATGTCCCCACACGTGTCCCCGTGTCCCTACCGGCCGCCGGTGACCCACAGGTCGGTGGCCAGCCCCCAGATCAGGTAGTCCTGGCCAGTCTGGAGCCTCAGAGCATCTCGGCACTGCCGGTGGCTCACGAAGGTCCGGTTGCTTCCTGCTGGGTCCTCGTCGGTGCCTGTCCCAGGGGAGGACACAGAGGGGACATGTCACCTCCACCCCAACACAACAGGGACACCCACTTTGCCATGTCCCGCAATGGGGACTCTCAATCCTCAGAGAGCCACTGGCATCCTTGGTGGCACTACCCTACTGGTGTCATCAGCCATGGGTGACACCAGTTCCCTCCGGCTTTCCCCAGCACCCTTGTGTGTCTCCACCCCACCTGGGTGACACCAGCATTCATGGGTGTCCCCAGCACCCTTGGGTGACACCAACTCACCTGGGTTTCCCTTCCCAACGGGTGTCCCCAGCACCATTGGGTGATGCCAACCGACCTGGGGACACCCCAAGCCACCCTAGGGACACCAACCCACCTGGTGTCCCTGCCCCTGGCTGTCCCCAGCCCTAGGTGACCCCCACCATGTCCCTCAGGGTGGCCTTGTCCCCCACCCCTGGGGTGCTCGTACCCATCTTGATGACGGAGAGGATGGTCATGATGTAGTTGTCATGGGACGGCGACTGCTCCACTGCCACCAGCTTCACCTTGTACACTGGGGAGGGGAACATCACCGTGTCACCCCCCACCCCCAGACAGCACCCCCACTCCAAGGTGGCCCCTCAGCATGTGGGGGGTCCTCTGTCCCCCCCTTTCCTCCCCACGTCCCTCTACATCCCCACCTTGTCCCTCTATGTCCCCCTGTCCCCTCCTGTCTCTCCATGTCCCTCACGTTCTTCTATGGCCTTTCATGTCCCCATCCATATCCTTTATGTCCCCTCGATGTGCCCCAACTCCCCCCATGACACCATATCCCCCATTATCCTTCCATGTCCCCCGTGTCCCCCGTGTCCCCCGTGTCCCACCATAGTCAACTCCCGGCTCGCAGGCGCGCTCAATCCGTTGGTTGACGGTGATCGGGACATCTTGCTTCTGCCGCACGAAGCAGTTTTCTGCGGGGACATGGGGACATGGCCGTGACAAGGTCTATTGTAGTAGTGACACGTCCCATCCTGGCAGGCACGTGTCCCACCATAGCAAGGACATGACTCCATCACACTCATGACACATCCCATCTTGTCAATGACGTGTCCCGTCATGGACCCAGTCTGTCCCCGTGTCCCTGTGTCCCCATGTCACCTTCGGCACAGCGGCACACGTCCCCGTAGCAGATCTTGCTCAGTTGCCCACCGTCCTTGTCCGGATGATAGAAACGGGTGCAGCGGTCATCTGCAGGGACACGGGGACATGAGAGGACATGAGGTGGGGGGGGACACAAGGGGAAAGGACCAGTGGGACATGGGGACAGAGCGGTGATGTGTGGAGGGAGAGGGGTCAGCAGGGGATGCAAGGGGACATGGGGACATGGGGGGACATGGTGACACAGGCATGGGGAGAAGATCAGCAGGGACATGGTGGGACAAAGGGACAGGAGGGAACACCGAGGGAGGACACAGAGGGGACTTTGTGGAAGCAAGGGGGACAGAAGAGAGTGTGGGGACAGTGGGGACCTGAAGGTGACACGAGGGGACATGGGGCGCACCGATCTTGTAGTAGCTGTAGACGGTGACGGCCGCGGGCTGGATCAAGCCCACCTGGAATCGCTGGTGGGCCTTGAAGGAGAAACACTCCTCGGCCTTGTGCGAGATCTGGGGACGGGGACACGGGGACATGGGGACACAGGGATGGCAGTCAGCCAGGCGGGGAGTCAGCGTCTCAACACCCAGCCTGGCCCTGTCCCCAGCCATGTCCCCAACTTCATTGCCATCTCTGTCCCTGTTCCAGTCCCTATCCATGTCCCCAACCCCACCTGCATCCCCATCCCATCCCATCCCTGTCCCCATCCTGTCCCCACCCTGTCCCCAACTCCATCCTATGCCCATCCTTGTCCTTGTCCCCACCCTGTCCCCATCCCTGTCCTATCATATCCCTATCCCTGTCCCATCTTGCCCCGTCCCCATCCCTGTCCCACCATGTCCCCATCCCTGTCCCATCTTGCCCCGTCCCCATCCCTGTCCCACCATGTCCCCATCCCTGTCCCATCTTGCCCCATCCCCATCCCTGTCCCACCATGTCCCCATCCCTGTCCCATCTCTGTCCCACCTTGTCCCTGTCCCCATCCCTGTCCCATCATGTCCCCATCCCTGTTCCATCTTGTCCCTGTCCCCATCCCTGTCCCACCACGTCCCCATCCCTGCCCCATCTTGTCCCCATCCCCATGTCCCTTCCTGACCCCCATGTCCCCACCTTGTCAAGGTAGATGACGAGGTTGCTGCGGTCTGATGGTGCTTGGTCAATCTCAAACTTGGAGATGTACCTGTCCACTCCCTCCGTGAGCTGGGGACAGGGACACGGTGACACCGGGCATGCAGGACATGCAGGGACACATGGTGACAAGCAACCGCATCAGGATAGAGGGATGTATGGGCACAGGGGGCACATAGGGACATGGTGATGATGGCCACATGGAGCACGCAGGGACACTTGGCCATGGCAGGATGCAGGGGACTTGCAAGGATGTGGGGACACAGGGGGACATGGGGACACAGGGACAGTGACACCAGGGGACACGGCGACACATGGCCATGGAGGGAAAGGCAGGGACACAAGGATGCAGTGGCACAGGGGAATATGGGGACACGGTGACACACAGGGACACATGGGGATGTGGGGACACAAGGACATGGGGGACACACATGGGGGTTAGGGAGATGCGGAGACACGGTGGGACACGATGGCACAAAGATAAAAGGTCCTGTGTCTCCCCCGGGTCCCCCCATGTGTCCCCATGTCCCCGCACTCACCCTCTTCAGGTCCTGGAGGTCAGGCGAGAAGCCCGTGAGCATGGAGACGTCGAGGATGGACATGGTGGCATCCACTTTGTCCAGGTACCTGTGGGGACAGGGCTGAGGCCACCTGCCTGTCCCCAACTACCCTATTGTCCTCAGCATCCCCATCCCTGATGTCCCTGTCCCCAGTATCCCCATTCCCCTCCCTATCTCCAACGTCCGTGGTGTCCCCGAGGTCCCCAGCCTGTCCTACCTGGTGCAGATGGTGAGCTTGACGGAGCGGATGACACCCTCCTGTTCCTTGCCTGTGCGGGGACATGGGGACAATGAGGGGACGTAGGGGACATGGGGGCACCATGGAGGGTACACATAGAGGATATGGGGAGGGATACGGGGGGACACAGTGAGGACATGGGGGACACATGTGGGGGACTCGCCTGTTTTCACGTCCTCCACCTGCACCTGCAGGTCGAAATTGTCACACTTGTTCTCCTTGTCGGGGACCTTGGCATTGTAGATGGTCACCACTGTCATCGTCCCCTTGCCCGTGCCCTCAGCTTTCACCGTGAAGTCCTCGTTCAACTTGGTCTGTGGAGAAAGGTGACATTGGGGAGGGGCAGGGACATCCCCTGGGAGGGACATGGAAGGGATGGGCCATCCTGGGCCGTGGAGGCATGCGGAAACATGAAGGGGGTGTAGAAAGGACAGGGACAGGGACATCCCAGGACATGGAGGGGACAACAGCGTTGCAAGATACAAAGGGGACAGGCACATTGGAGGGGACAAGGAAATCAGAGGACATGGAGGGACATGGAGGGGACAGGGACATTCCAGGTCACAGCAAGGGAGGGGACAAGATCAGCCTGGGACATGGAGGGACATGGCAGGGACATCCCAAGCCTTGGAAGGACACAGAGGGGACAGGACTTGGAGGGGACATGGAAGGGACAGGCACATCAGAGACCACAGCGAGGGGACATTGTCCTGGGACATGAAGAGACACAGAGGGGACAGGGACATCCCATGGCCAGCAACAGCAGGGCGAGCAGTGCTGCATCCCCATGGTCCTGACGGTGACAGTGACAACGGTGACAAGGGTGCCGGTACCTCGGCGGAACGTGCCACCAGGGCGTTGCGGTTCTCGATGCGGTAGGTCATGGCACTGGCACGGCGTGGCAGCAGCACCGACACGTCAAGGTTGAGCTCAAGCTGCCGTGGAGTTGCCACCTGGTACTGGGCCAACGCTTGGAATACCAGGATGGTAGCCTGCAGGGACGTCACCAAGGCTTGGGGACACCATCTGGAGCATCCCCAAAGTCCCCCTGAGCCCAGGGTGACCCCAAGTCCTGGGGCCACCTGATATCACCTGGAACATACCCTTGGGGGTCTTACGGAGCAGAGGTGTCCCTCAGGGACAGGTCATGTCCCTGAGGGTCCCCAGGGTCTGGAGGTGTCCCCAGGGACTAGGGTGTCCCCCAGGGACAGGCCTTTTGGGTTTTCCAAAGCCCTGGAGATCCCATGGGACCAGGGATGTTCCCCAAGGACATGCCATGTCCCTAGGGGCCCCAAGGGCCCTGAGGTAACCCCCAAGCCCTGAGGCGTTCCTTTGGGGTCCCATGGGACCAGAGGTGTCCCCCAGAAGACATGCCACGGCCCTGGAGTCCCCAGGGCCACAAGGTGACCCCTCAACCCCCAACAAAGCCCTCAACCCCTATCTTCCTGTCCCCCTTCCCCACAACAGCGGGTGCCAGGACAGCACCCATGGGTGCCGGGGGGGTCCGTAGCCCACCTGAGTGGATCCGTAGCCACCACCGAAGTAGTTCTGCTGGGCCAGCCAGCGGGCCACTGGCCCCGTCAGCTCCGGCTTCTCCATTTGCAGCAAGGCCAGCAACGCGTAGGACGTCCCCTCGATGTTGTAGGTCCGGGCGTTGCGTTCCTCCCAACGTTCGCCCTCTGGGGTGACATTGGTCCCTCAGCACCCTCTAGGGATGATTTCTTCCCCCACCAGGTAACCCATAATTACCTCTCCCCCCCACCCCAATTTTGTCCCCCCTGCTGACACGTCACCTTTGGAAAACTTCATGAGAACTTTCTCGCTTTTGAGTTTCCCTGCGATGGCCAAGGCATAGGAGGTCAGGGCCACCGTGTAGGGTCGGGCCAGTGACTGATACCTCTGGGCAAGGGAGGCAAGGTATTCGGTGGCTTTGGTGATGCTCCCGTCCAAGCTCTGGGCAGAAAGGATGGTAAGTTTGGATTCTCAGGTGGCTGCTATAAGGGTTGGGCACCTTGTCTTAAAGCACTGTCCTTCTACGTGACAGGTGCCAGTTGTCCCCCCTCTCCCCGTGTGGGGTCGATGACTGGGTCACTCACGTTGACATGGTCCTTGCACACCTCCCGGGCCTCCTGCAGCGCGATGAGGACAAAGGCTGTCAGTGACACCTCGGGCTCGGCACCCTGGTAGCCTCCCTGCGTGACAAAATGGAAGGAAAAAACCTCAGGATCATGGTTTTCACAGCGAGCTCTGTCTACCCAACACTCCTGCCTGTCACCCAACATAGTCCTTTCCCCACAGCTCATTCCAAAAGCCCATCTTCGAGCCAATAGGGCTTTGGCCACCAGCAGGGACAGGGTTTGGATCCCCCCATACCACCATCTCCTTATGGATGACAGGAGCATCTTCTTGGAAAATCCCATCTGGCTTCTGCTTCTCCAGGATGAGCCATTTCACGGCACCACAAATCACCTCGGGCTCAATGTCTACCAGCTTGATGGCCATGGCAAAGACTTTGGCCACGTAGGCTGTCAACCTGGGGACAGGAGGACCTTAACGTTCTGTCCAACACTGTCACCCAGACCCACGTGGTGGTGGCAATGTGATCCTCACCAGGTGCTTGATGGGCGATTCTTGAAGGCGGCATAGGAGCTGTCAGGTTTCCGGAAAGCAAGTTGTTGGGTGTAACCTGGTGAGGAGATGGTGGTTGGCCAACACAAGGAGCACCCGGGGGTGGCTTTAGGCCACCAATGCCCTCCAGCTGTTGACCAACACAAGGAGCAGCCAAGCTGAGGTAGCTTCAGGCCACCAACCCGCTCCGGAGCACATTCCAGTGCAAACCAGTAGCTCTAGATATCCCCAAACTGATAGCACCCAACCCATGTCTTCTTCAAAGGTGCAGGTTTCTTCAGCACCTTGGATGATGGTGACATTTTGCACCCCAAGAGAGGAAACCAGGGGATGCTCCCACCCTTTGGGGGATGCTCCTACCCTTTTTAATCAAGCTGATGGCCTCAGTGCGGCGGTCAACACCGAGGCTTTCCCACTGCAACGTGCTGTCCAAGTAGTGGGTGGCAATGACAGTGGGCGTCATCCCGATCATGTTCTGCTCCCCACAGCCCGCTGGCGTCATGATGAGGTGCTTCAGCTTTTCCCCGTCGATGGCTTTCTCCACCATGATGGACACAGGGTTGCCTGGACCAGAAGAAGGGGAGACGTCAAGCCAGGAGTGTCCCACCCCCTCCCACCTCGTCCCCACGTGTGTCCTTTCCCCTGCTCTCACCTTGGATGCTGACTTTGGTCTCGGACTCGGTGTTGGGGACAATGTCAGAGAGGTTTGCTGCCCTCACCTTCTCTTCCTGTACACCATCTGCAGGGCAGGGAGGCCAGGATGGAGATGGGTGACCCTTCATGTCCCTCCCACCCTGAGGTGACCCAGCCCTGCCCCACATCTCCAGCAGGATGTCCCTTGTCCTTCAAGATGTTCCAGAGCCGTACCAGGATGTCCCTTCGCCCTTGAGATGCCCCAGCTTCATGGTAGGATGTCCCTTGTCCCCAAGGATGCCCCAGACCCACAGGAGGACATCCCTCATTCCCTGAGATGTCCCAGCTCCATAGTGGGATGTCCCTTGTCCCCCAAGATGCCCCAGTCCTACCCTTGGAGGTACATCCTTCATCCCTCAAGATGTCCCAGACCCACAGTGGGACTTCCCTTGTCCCCCGAGATGCCCCAGATCCTTCCCTCAGTGGGACATCCCCGTGGGGCTGAGACATCCCCAAGACCAGCCGGGCCACTCACTGATTCCCTTCGTCTTTGGGTCCAGCTCAACTATCTTCACTGTCTTCTCCAACCTCATCCCTTCGGGCTGCAGAGGTGAAAGTCCAATGTTAAAGGTTGGGCTGGTTTTGGGTCCCCCCTTCTCAACTTCTCTGGGTTGTTCAGGAAAGATGTCCCAGTGTAAACCAGCACCCCCAGGTCATGGGACAAATTGGGAGAGCCCCAGGAGACCACATTTGAGTGTCCTAGAGGGAGGATCCTTCATCCCTGGGTACCAACACCAGGGATGTCACAGGGATACCATGCTGGGGACATCTTCGGGATGGAGGTGGCACCATGTGGTGGAGGCGCCATGAGCAGCAATGGCCACTCACCACAACTTTGAGCTTCTTCTTGACACCGTCAGCCACGAAGCTGCCCCAGACAGCTGCCTTCACCTCGACGTCATGCAGCCCCAGCTGCAAGGGCACGATGATGAAGGGCACGGCCCACGATGACTGAGCTTTCAAGGTGAGGATCTGCTGGTAGCGCGCCTTGGAGGTGGAGGCGCTGCACAGGGCTGGGTTGTGCATCAGCTCCACGCGCACCTGCAGGGCACAGAGATGTTGGCCGTGGGGTTCAGGTGGCCACAGAACCCAAGCCAAGAAGCCCGAGCGTGGGTCCCCTGCCAACCTTGATATTGTGCGTCCAGTAGTTGTAGAGGATGGCACGGATCTCCACCTGCTCATTCCTCACCACAGAGTAGGGCAGGCGCAGGTCGATGAAGAACTCCTTCATCACCGTGATCTCATAGGGGTCAGCCACGCACAGCCCTGCGGGATGGCCCCCAAGGACATGGGGTTCAGACTTATGGGCTTGCTGGGCCCCTCATGTCCCAGGGGCATCCCCAAGGCTTTCAGAGATCCTTCAAGTCCCATGGAGTCCTCCCAAGGTTTAGGAGATCCCTCAAGTCCCAAGAAGTCCTCCCAAGGCTTAGGGGATCCCTCAAGTCCCATGGAATCCTCCAAAGGCTTAGAAGATCCCTCAAGTCGCAAGGACTGCCACCAAGCTTTGGGCGATCTCCCCAAAGTTTGAGGCACCTCTCCAGTGGTATGCACCCCTCTAAGATTTTGGAGATCCCTCAAAGCCCAAGGAAACCCGCCAGGCTTTAGGGGACCCTTCAAGGGTCCCAAGGTTTGGGAGATTCCTTTGATCCCCAGAGACACCTTTCTACTCCATCACGTACCCTTGGTCTGTGAGAGGCTGATGGCCAGGACCTCCCACGTGGTGATGGAGTCCTTCAGGTACACAGGCAGAGTCTTCGTGGAGATTCTGGAGAGGATGGGAATGACCAAGAGGGTCATAACCGGCCCCAAGCCAGGCTAGGAGGTGTAACCAGCCACCAAGCTGGAGTAGGGGGGTCATAGCTGGTCCCCAAGCTAGACCAGGGGGTTGTAGATGGCCCTTGAGCTGGACCAAGGTGTCGTAGCTGGTCCCGAGGCAGCACCAGGGGGGTCAAAGGTGGCCCTTGCCTAGACTTGAGGGGCATCATAGCTGGTCTCCAGACTGGGTAAGACAGTGTCCAGAGCTGGACAGGGAGGAGGTAATGATCCCCAAGATGAGCTGTGGGGTGGAAGGGTATTGGGCCAAGGGCACAGCGCTCACCCCAGCTCATTGGGCCGCTCCGTCAATGGCTCCACCTGCCACAGCCAGCTCTCCGGGAAGAGGCTCCGGGAGGTGATGTCCTCGTCAGCAAGGAAGCCATCGTCCACCTCACCTAGGGGTGGCAGCATCCCTCTCGACCATGGCCTCAACGGCCCAGCTCCTGGATGGAGCCAGTATCACCCCAGCATCATCCAAGCACCACCCTTCTTTTGCCCAAGCATCGTCTCGGCATCACCCAACTGTCACCCAAGCGTTGCCCAAAACTCATCCAAGTATTGCCCAAGGACAGCGCAAGCAACGCCTGAGGTTCACCTGACCTTCGCCCAAGCTTCACTTAAGCTTCACTTAAGCTTCGCCCAATCTTCACCCAACTGCCAACCCCGCCGTCACCCCACCGTTGCCCAGCACTTGCTTCGAGCCAGCTCGAGGTGGAGCTCGCGCTGCTTCTGGTCACGGATGCCCTTGATGTAGTTGCAGCAGTCGAGGAAGGCCCGGATGCAGGCTTTTCCATCCTGGATGTAGTTGGTCCGATGCTCGCAGCTGTGGCCCATGGGGTTCTCCTTCATGCCGTCCTCGCAACACTTGCGCAGTGCCTTGTCCGTGTACTCAGCCGCTGCCGGCGCCAAGACACCCAACTGGCACCCAGTCCCAAAGCCCTTGGCCTGAGGGCCGTTGGGGCTATGGGGCACTCTGGTGTCCTTTGGGATATGGGATGCTGTGGCGTCACCAGGGACATGGGACACTCTGATGTCCCTCAGGGACATGGGATGTTGTGGTATCACCAGGGACATGGGACACTCTGATGTCCCTCAGGGACATGGGATGCTGTGGTATCACCAGGGACATGGGACACTCTGATGTCCCTCAGGGACATGGGACACTGGTATTGATTGGGACATGCGATGCTCGGTGTCCCTCAGGGACCTGAGACACTTTGGCATCTTCAGGAACATGGGACAATCTGGTGTCCCCAGGGGCATAGGACATTCCAGTGTTCTTGGGGACATGGGACACTCCCACTGCCACCTACCCTTGCTGCCTTTGTGCTCGATGAGCTGTAGGGAACGGCGCTTGCGTTTCGCAGGCTGGGGACACTGGACCTCTGGGGAGGGAGAGGACACAGGTCAGGAACCCACAGTGTCACAGCCCCAAACCCAGGTGTCACTTCCCCTTGACATCAGTTGTCACATCCCAAAACTCAGGGGACACATCCCCCATCCCTGAGGTGTCACACTCCTCCATCCTTGAACTGCCACATCCCCAAAGTGTCACCTACCCTCTCCCCAAGGTGCCACCCCAGGTTGTCCCAGTCCCCAGCATGTCCCCTACCCGTTCGCTGCGGCGTGGTGATCTTCATGTTGGTGACCAGGCTGAGGCCAGCGTCAGCAAAGACACCCACATTGTCCCTCCCACTGCCCGGGGTGCAGCCGATGTCACTCTTCTCCACCGTGTCCCAAACCTGTGGCCAACAGGGGACAGGCATGACAGCCACTGCCATCACCTGGGGACAGTGGGGATGGGGACCAAGGCACCCACCTTGGACTGGGTGAGCTTGTTCTTCTTGTTGAGGACAAAGACGCCCTTATCCACGGCCACCAACCCCACATGGGCATTGTGGTCACCCTCGATGCGCAGCCGCATGGGTGTCCCCGGTTCATGCACCCGGTTGTCAGCCTCTGTTGCTCCCTTCACCACCAGCTGCCAGGTGACACGGGGCGGGGGGGTCATGTCCATGGGATGCCCAAAAAAAACCTTCACCACAGCCCCAGAAGCTGCCCCATGGGGGTACCCCAACCCCACGGGGAGTCCTCCAGGGGTAGCTGATGGCTGTGACCTCCACCATGGAACATCTGGACCACCAATGGGTCACCTGGGCCACCCAAGCCCCACTATGAGATGCCCAAGCCCCCCGTGGATTATCCAAACCACCTAAGTGCCACCCAATCTCCATCATGCGCCACCCAAGCCCCATCATGGGCCACCTCAAGGGCCACCTAAACTACCTCCAAGACCCCCACGAGCCCCCCAGCCCCTAGGACAGTGGGGACACACTCACAGTGCCCATGCAAGTGTCCTTGACATCAACCCAGACGGAGTCGGCAACAATCTCGCCGGGCATCACGAAGTAGTAGGCCACGATGCGGAAGGAGGGGATGAGCTCGGCCGTCACTGGCAGTGACATGGTGACCAGGCTCTGGCCAGCCTCGTGCCGCTGTCGCCCCACACGGACGATACGTCCCTTGCTCATGATCTATGTCGGGCAAGAAAAGGCGGGAGTGGTGGGCATCTGGACACCTAGGTCCCCAAGATGGGGGGCAGGTGGTTGGCAGAGGCCAAGCGCGCTCACCAGGTAGGTGAAGTATGGGACAGAGTCACGAACGGGCTTGTTGTTGCTCTTGAGGTGGAAGTTCACGGCGAGGTTTTCACCAGGCTGCAGCTCAGTGGCCCCCACAGCCAGGTGGAGGAGGTTGCCGGAACCATCTTGGCTGCGGTAAGCTTTGGCAGTCATCTGCCGCGAAGCTTGGCGGTTGGGAGGCAGCCCCGGCTGGTTCGTTTGCACCTGCGACACAGGGGACACAGTGGCACCTGGTCAACAGGGAGAGGCGTGGACCTGGGCAGGGGTCACCATGGAGGTCTTGGCCACCATAGAGGTCTTGGCTGTCCTGGTCTCCCTGGCCCCTGCTGCCCTGGTCCTTGGTCGATGGTGATCATCTCCTTTGTCAACCTGATCATCTCTGCTACCCTGGATTCTTGGCCACTCTAGTCAACTCAACACCTTTGGTCACCCTGACGTTGGCCTACTGGCCCTTGGCTACCCTGAACATCTTGGCCACTCCCATGCCCCTGACCTTGGCCATCTTGGTTCTTGGTCACTGGTGAACCATGCTGACCCTGGCTGCAGGCCACCGTGGACAACTTGGCCACTATGGACATCTCCACCAGTCTCCCTGCCACTGGCCATCCTGGTCCTTTATCACCCTAGATGTCTTGGTCAACCCAATTGTGTTGGCCGCCATGGTCCCCCTGACACCAGCCATCCTGCTCCTTGATAGCGGTGACCAGGATAGCTCTGGTGGTTTGTCACTCTGGACATCTTGATCACCACAGTCATCTCAGCCATGCTGGTCCCCCTGACCTTGGCCATCCTGGTCCTTGGTCAATGGTGACGGGGGTGGCCCTGATCCTTGGCCACCATGGTTGTTTAGGCCATCCTGGTCCCCCGATCCTGGTCTCCTGGCCCTTAGTCAATGCTGACCATGCTGGCCATGGTCCTTGGTCGCCCTGGACATCTCAGCCACCTTAGCTGTCTCAGCAACCCCAACCCCCAGGTCACTTCAACCACCCCTGTCCCCAGACACCTTGGCCACCCCACTTACAGTGATGGGGACGGCGTCCTTGTTGGCCGGCATGTTGAGGACCAGCCTGGCTGTGCCATCACGCTGGGTGGAGACGAGACCCTGGAAGCCATCAGCCTTGACGGTGACACGTGGAGCTGGGGACTCATCTGGGTTAGTGACGTAGACCTGCAGGGGATGCGATGTGACATTACGTGGAGACATGGCATGAGGGACATGTCACCTGGTGCCATCCAGGTGACAGAGGGAGAGACCCTGGTCCCCAGGCCCTCTCCAGGTGACACAGTGATATGAAATGGGGACAGACCCTGGTCCCCAAGTCTCCTCCACCCACAAACCCCCAGGCTTGCCCCGTCCCAATCCTGATGCTGGGGACCCTGGTGCCATGGGGGTCCTGGGCCAATGCCTCCACTGTCTCCATCCTTGTCCCCAGATGCCATTACCATCAGATCGAAGGGCATCCCCGGCTTGAAGTACTTGGGGGTGTGGGTGAAGTGGATGGTATACGGGGACGTCACGATGCGGATGCCACTGCGCTGTGCCTCCACCATGTCACTGCCTGCAGAGGCCACAGGAACGGCCATGTCACCAAGTGCCAGGACGGGGCTCCCGGTCCGCCCCCCTCCCCGGGACAGCCCTGTCTGGCCTTGTGTGGCCCCAGACGGCCCAATCCTCGCTGTCCCCAACCCCACCTGTCCTCATCCTTGCTGTCCCCAACCCCATGTCTCCCCATCCTTTGCTGTTTCCAACCCCACATGTCCCCAGCCCCACGTGTCACTGCTGTCCCTATCCCCCCTATGTCCCCACATGTCCCCGTGTGTCCCCCCACCTACCCGACTTGTTGAAGACTGTGACAGAGATATACATGTCCCTGCTGTCCCTGTCCCCCCAAGTCCCCCGTGTCCCCTGTGATCCCCCTGCACACCTGACTCGGTGAGTACGGTGACGGAGACGTAGAGTGAATGTCCCACCAGCTCCTGGAGGTTGGTGAATCGCTGCTGCAGTGTGGCCATGGACAATATGGCTTCCCCGTCCCCGTCGGTCACCTGCGGCATGGAGTTAGTGGGACAGGGGACAGCCATGGGGACCGGGATGGGGACAGGGATGGGAATGGGGACAGGGGATGGCAGCGCTCATTATGAGACAGGGATGGGGACAGGGATGAGGATGGGGATGACACGGCTCAGCAAGGGACAGAGCTCAACAGGGGACTGGAATAGGGACAAGGGATGGGGACAAGGACAAGGACAGGGTCACCTGGATGCGCTGCAGGGACTGGGGGATGCTTTTCTTCTCGTCCTCCACCATGACACCGAAGAGGACGAAGGCTGTCCCCTGCAGACGCTTCCCATACAGGTACCTGTGGACAAGCCACCAAGTCACCATCAATCCCTGTCCCCACGTCCCCATCACATCCACATCACTGTCACCCCATGTCCTCACATCCTCTTGTCATGCAACCCTGCCACCCCATTGCGCCATGTTCTCATCACCCTGTCACTCCGCATGCCCATGTCCCCCTGTCATCCCATCACGCTCTGCCACCTCCATCACCATCACCCTGTGTCCTCCACACCCCCTGTCCCCACCATCCCATTTCCCCACATCCCCATCACCCTCAAACCTGTCACCTTGCCTCCGTGCCACCCCCTCATCCCTGGGGATTTTGCGCAGGAGCAGAGCAGGGATGTCATCCTGCACCATCGCCCATAGGGGTTTGACCTCTAAAATGAGCAATTTTGGGATTCCCATCCCACCTGGCCGTGATGGACACTCGGAAATCCTCCTTCCGATCGATGTAGAGGAACTTCTCCTCTGGCTCCAGGACCACCTCAAAGCTTGGCAGCACTGTGGGGAGGACACCCAATGGACCCAGGCATCCAGGACAGGCACAAGGTGTCTAGGGACCCCCACCCTAGGTGTCTAGGGACCCCCACCCCACCTTACCATATTCCTTGACTTCAAATTGGGTGCTGAAGACCTGGTCTGGTGAGTCTTCAAATTTGGCTGTTATCGTCCATGTCCCCAGGCTGGAAAAGGCAGGGGACAGGGTGAGGGGAAAAGCCCAGGGACACAGATGTCCCCGAGACACCCTGGGAGGTGGCACCCACCTGACAATCTCTGGCAGGTTGTGGTTGAAGGAGAAGATGCCGGTCTTCATTGGCGAGGACACGGGCACTTGCTTGATGATGACATTATCAGGCGTCTGAAGCGACATGGAGTGGTTGGGGACAGTGGCAGGGGTGGCTGTGTCCCCATGTCCCTGTGTCCCCAGCGGGCACCCACCTTGACCTCCACAATCACCGTCTTGGGTGCTGGCTCCATGAGGTGGCCCAGAGCAAAGAGGCGGCAAAGCACTGGGAGGGGACACGGGGGACAAGGTGAGCAGGGATGGTGTGGGGACATCCAGAAATGGGTGCTTGGGTCCCAGTGGAGATGCCAGGGGGATGTCCCCAAAAGGGTGCTGGACCCCAAAATGGGTGCTTGGGTCCCAGTGGAGATGCCAGGGGGATGTCCCCAAGTGAGTGCTGGACCCCAGCACCCCAAGGTCACACCAGCACCCCAAGGAGGCGACCCAACATCCCAAAGTGCCACCAGCACCCCAACATGCCATGGTCAGACCCAGCACCCCAAGGACACACCAATGGAGCCAGGGGTGTAGATGGGCTTGTCGGTCTGCAGGAAGATGTGGCCGCTCTGGAGTGACACCAGCAGCACCTTCTCCAGGGTCACCTGCGCCACCCGCGCCGTCACCGAGACAAACTGCTTCCCCACTGCTTGCGGCAGCGCCTTGGCCGACACCTGCGGTGACAGAGGACACCAGGTGGCACCTGCACCACAGGGAAGGGGCAGAGGACACCAGATGGCACCCATGCCCAGGGAACGGGGCTGAGGATGCCAAGTGACAGTCCCCAAGGACTCCAGGGTGACCATCATCAAAGACCCAGAGGTCACCATCCTCTAATCATAAGGTGACCATCTCCAAGGACCCCAAGGTGACTGTCCCCAAAGATCCAGAGGTGATCATCCCCATGGACCCAGGGGTGACCATCCTCTAATCATAGGGTGACCATCTCCAAGGACGCACGGATCCCTATCCCCAAGGACCTGGGGTGGCTGTCCCCAAGGACCTCAGAGCACCCATCCCCAAAGACCTCGTGGTGACCATCCTCCCCCAGGTCCCACTAACCCCATGGAGATTCTCCACCATCTAGTATAGGGTTGAGCCCCATGGGCCCCGGGGTGGGAGGGGGCAATGACCGGCAGGGAGGTGACATGGGGGTGGTGACATACCTTGATGGTGGTGGTGGCCAACATGCCCTCGGCAGGGCTCAGCGGCACACGGATCTGGTAGAGCACGTGGCGCTTGAGGGGAAAGTCCTGCACCAGGAGGGTGGCCTCGGCGGGGGCGGTCAACCCCGGCGCCTCCAGCA